AACTGTAACGTTATATTCTGCATTTAGAAGCAAATGGACTTATTAATGATGGACAGCATGGTCTCGTGCAGGGGAGGTCATGCCTCACTAAGTTGTTCGAGGATATGACAAAGATGATTGATGAAGAAAAAGCGGTTGATGAAGTCCATGTAGACAACAATCAAGCCTTTGACAAGGTCCCTCATTGCAGCCTGATACAAAAGATGAAGTCACATGGTATCAGGGGTGAGCTGGCAAGATAGATACAGAACTGGCTTAGTCATAGGAGACAGAGTAGCAGTGGAAGTTTGCTTTTTGGAATGGAGGGTTGTGACCAGTGTTGTTCCACAGGGGTCAGTTCTGGGACCTCTGCTGTTCATGTTCTACATGAATGATTTGGAGGAAAACGTGGCTAGGCTAATTAGTAAGTCTGCGGACAGTACAAAGATTGGTGGAGTTGAGGATAGTGAGGAAGATTGTCAGAAGATACAGCAGGATATAGATCAGTTGGAGGCATGGGCAGAAAAATGGCACGTGGAGTTTAATCCAGAAATATGTGAGGTGATGCATTTTGGAAGCTCAAGTACATGTGGAAATTATAGAGGGAATGGCAGAACCAGTAGAAGTATTGATATGCAAAGAGATCTGGGTGTGAAAGTCCAGAGATCACTGAAGGTGGCAGCGCAGGTAGATAAATTATTGAAAAAGGCCAATGGTATGCTTGCCTTCATTGGAAGGGGCATTGACTATAAGGATAGGCAAGTTATGTTGCAGCTTTATAGAACTTTAGTTAGGCTACACTTGGAATATTGCATACACTTCTGGTCACCACACCACCATAAGGATGTGGATGCTTTGGAGGCGATTGGGAGGGGTACAGAAAAAGTTTACCAGGATGTTGCCAGGTATGGGGGATTTTAGCTATGAAGAAAAGGTTGGATAGACTGGGTTTGTTTTCACTGGAACGCAAGAGGTTGCGGGACGACCTGATAGTTTCTAAGATTGTGAATGGCATGGATAGAGTGGAAAGTATGAGGCTTTTTCCCAGGGTGGAGGGGTCAATTACTACAGAACAGAGGTTCAAAGTGCCAGGGGGTGGGGGAGAGTTTTTAATAGAAACGGACGTGGCAAGCTTTTCCCACAAAGGGTGGAGAGTGCCTGGAGGAGGTGGTGGAAGCAGGTACAATAGCAGCATTCAAGAAGCAGCTGGACGAATGCATGAATAGGAAGGGAATAGAGAGATACGGACCCTGTAATTGAAGACAGTTTTAGTATGGAAGGGCAAAATGTGTCAGCGCAGGCTTGGAGGGCCTGTGTCTGTGCTGTATTGTTCTTTGTTCTGTTCTATTACACTAACGTATTTACGTAAGATATGATTTGTCTGGTTAGCATACAAAACAATTCTTTTCACTAATCTTGATACATGTGGCAATAAATTAAATCAAACTAGTTAAGCATTAATAATTTGGATGTGCAAAGTAATTTTGAAAAATATAATATAAAATTGGAACAAATTTAGTTGTTTTTTTATTCATTCACGGATGAGGGCATCGCTGGCTAGGCAGCATTTTATTGCCCATCCCTAATTGTCCAGAGGGCAGTTAAGAGTCAACCACATTGCTGTGGGTCTGGAGTCACATGTAGACCAGACCAGGTAAGGATGGCAGTTTCCTTCCCTAAAGGACATTAGTGAACCAGATGGTTTTTTCCCTGACAATCAACAATGGATTCATGATCATCATTAGACTCTTAATTCCAGATATTTATTGGATTCAAATTCTACCATCTGCCGAGGCGGGATTCAAACCATGACCCCAGAGCATTATCTGGGTCTCTGGATTAACAGTCCAACAATAATACCACTAGGCCATTACACCAAGTATTATCCCAACTCCATATTTCTGTCAAAATTTGGAGGGAAATGTCTCACTATGATTGTAATTTTTACATTTTAGTTTTGCTATTGTATGCTACAAATGGAGTTGTTAAAATCTGAAATTGAGCCTGCATTTGCATTTTCAATTCAGAACTTGTTGTGGTCTCAATGTGAATGTTGCTTTCATGGAGGCCTAGTAGTAAATTCCACTTATTTTGTTTAACCTACAATTTGGGGTCCACTTTATATTCTCTTAAAAATATCAGATATTCAAATTTTGCAGACTGGAATGTTGCATGTAGTACAAGTTCTAAACTTACTGTGTGGGCATCAAGAGTCTATGGAGGGTTAATAACAGTGTTTGTAATTATAGGCCAAACCTTTTAATTATTAGGCATACTGTGTGACATCATCCTGTACCTCTGAGTTGTCATGACAGAATTGAAAAAGCCAGATGGTGTGTGATTATAGTTAGTTCCTCCAAAATGTGTTTTAGAAGCAATTAAAAGATTTGGACCTCCTCCTCACGATCTGCTCATCTGTGATGAGTTTTATTTTGTTCAGTTTCATCTGATGCAAAATGATAGCTCCAGATAAGAAATAAATGAAAGGTCAGAAGGGCTCTAAGTGTCAACTTAGATTTTCAGGAAATTACAGATTTTTGGGGCATGCCTACTTAGATAAATGGGTTAGCAGAAAAGAAGTAGTAAGTAATCTATAATCCTTCGCTGGGAATTTATTTGCATTTTAAAAGCTTCAGTGATTAAGAACAGATGGGTTGCTATCTGTCTGAAAAAGTGTAATACGTTGCAAGAAAGGTTTTAAAATAACACGGAAGCTTTCAGTCTCGCTTCCTGGAATGCTGTCTTCTTTCTTAGAAGATGTTACTGATTTACTCAGGATGTAAAAGAAAAAGTTGAGACTGAAAATATGATAGACTGGCAAAATTGGCTTCACACTATCCAAAAATATTTGCAAGTGCTGCTTTCACCTCCTGCTAAATCATATGGATTTTCAAAACCGTTTCATCAGCATTAATAGCAGCCTAGATAGAAAATGTCTTGTTTGAAGTACATTTCTCATCCATCAAACTTCACAACCACTCCTAAACAGAGATAACAAGTTGTAGAGCTGGATGAACACAGCGGGCCAAACAGCATCATAGGAGCAGGAAAGCTGACGTTTCGGGCCTAGACACTTCTTCAGAAATGGGGGAAGGGAAGGGGGTTCTGAGATAAATAGGGAGAGAGGGGGAGGCGGATAGAGATGGATAAAGGAGAAGATAGGTGGAGAGGAGACAGACAGGTCAAAGAGGCGGGGATGGAGCCAGTAAAGGTGAGTGTAGGTGGGGAGGTAGGGAGGAGATAGGTCAGTCCGGGGAGGATGGACAGGTCAAGGGGGCGGGATGAGGTTAGTAGGTAGGAAATGGGGGTGGGGCTTGAGGTGGGAGGAGGGGATAGGTGGGAGGTAGGACAGGTTAGGGAGGCGGGGACGAGCTGGGCTGGTTTTGGGATGCAGTAGGGGGAGGGGAGATTTTGAAGCTTGTGAAATCCACATTGATACCATTGGGCTGCAGGGTTCCCAAGCCGAATGTGAGTTGCTGTTCCTGCATCCTTCGGGTGGCATCGTTGTGGCACTGCAGGAGGCCCAGGTAGGACATGTCGTCTGAGGAATGGGAGGAGGAGTTGAAATGGTTCGCGACTGGGAGGTGCAGTTGTTTAGTGCGAACCGAGTGTAGGTGTTCTGCAAAGCGGTCCCCAAGCCTCAGCTTGGTTTCCCCGATGTAGAGGACGCCACAACGGGAACAGCGGATGCAGTATACCACATTAGCAGATGTGCAGGTGAACATCTGCTTGATGTGGAAAGTCTTCTTGGGGCCTGATATGGGGGTGAGGGCGGAGGTGTAGGGGCAGGTGTAGCACTTCCTGCGGTTGCAGGGAAAAGTGACAGGTGTGGTGGGGCTGGAGGGGAGTGTGGAGCGGACAAGGGAGTCATGGAGAGAGTGATCCCTCCGGAAAGCAGATAAGGGTGGGGAGGGAAAAATGTCTTTGGTGGTGGGGTCGGATTGCAGATGGCGGAAGTGTCGGAGGATGATGCGTTGGATCCGGAGGTTGGTGGGGTGGTACGTGAGGACGAGGGGTATTCTTTTTTGGTTCTTATTGCGGGGAGGGGGTGTGAGGGATGAGTTGTGCGAAATGCGGGAGACACGGTCGAGGGTGTTCTCGACCACTGAGTGGGGGGGGGTTGCGGTCCTTGAAAAACGAGGACATCTGAGATGTACGGGAGTGGAATGCCTCATCCTGGGAGCAGATGTGGCGGAGGCGAAGGAATTGGGAATAGTGGATGGCATTTTTGCAGGAAGGTGGGTGGGAAGAGGTGTATTCTGGGTAGTTTGCGTTTTACTGTCTTAGACACCTTGAACAAGCTGATTATTTCAGACTTTTCTGCAAAAATAATACACGTTCACAGTGAATTGCATAAAATTGCAAACTTTTATTTTTGTTTCTATATAATTCAAATGCATTATATTTTAATCCTGTAACCTTTTACTTCTGGGACATGAATTTAAATCCAGTCCAGATTAATGAAAAGAGGCTTTTTCATTTTGCTCAGGTCATATGTGAAATGGTTTAAGAATTCTAAAACTAGGTCCTAGTCAGCATTGACCCATGACACAAAAAAAGCTATCTCATATTCAGCAAATTTCACAATGTTACTAATAAAGAGCGCAGGATGTTTTATGTGTAAATGGAGAAAATGTCATGCTTTTCCAGTAAGTAGCTGCAGAATAGAGGGAGCTAACACCTGACTGCTTGAAGCTGACATTGTTGTTCAAATGGTAGAGATACTAATAAAATGCACAAATACAATTTGTGATTTACTAAGGGTCACTTTAATTATTGGTAACAAAATAGAACAGGTAAAAGTATATTGACCTCTAATTAAACATCTTGCCTGATTATTTTTCCCTTTAATCTCAAAAGAATTAAAAGTTGTGCCTAATGTATGGCAGCTGGCCAGTCCAATATTGCTGCTTTTAGACAATGACCAAAAGTCAAATTACCTCCAATGTTTCTGCTCTTAATGATCAATTTACACTTCGTAATCTTTATGCAATTCTGTTTAAAACATTCTCTTTTTGCAGCAACACGCAAGCTTTCCTACTGGAAAATGTTCCATGCAATGATGCAAGCTGCAGGCCTGTGGGTCGAATGTTCAAGGTTCTTTGGGATCTGTCCGATTTAAATGAAATTAAAAATGCTGTTGTGGCAACCTTCTTTGACATTTATGAAGATGTAAGTTCAGAATTGTGTTGTTAATTATCTTTTTCACATTATTAATTTGAATTTCACAATCAATCTTTTACAACTGCTGGTCTTGGGAACTTTACTGATATATGGTTGTTATAAATACCTAGTATGATGATGATTCCTGCAGACAAGGCATTCCTCCAGATTCAGAATGAATTCCTGACCTGTACAGACTTTACAGACCTCACCTAGGGTGGTGAATTAACAATCTAGGGCTAGGAAGAGGAAAAATTAACGATAATTCTTGTCTGGTGACCCTTGCTAGACAATGCAGATATTTGGATCTGAATTATGACCACTGCTAGTTTTAGCATCAACATCCTTTGTCTGCTTTGAGGTTGTTTGCATGGTGTGATGTAATACTATTCTACAAGATGAAAATGATAGTGACATTTAAGAGGAGGTTGGAGGAGAAAACTGGGGAAATTCAATTTTTTGCCAATATTGTTGAATACAAAAACTGCTTTAAATTATACACTCTTCAGTGTATTTTTAGACTAGCCTGTCAAGACCAAATACCTAAAGTTAGAATAGTGGTCGCTGAATGGCATCAAAGGCATGCAAAAGTGTGGGGTAACTCATAATGAAGCCTGAGTGGCTGTAGTCCTAGCATGCCAGTAGCAGCAGAAGCTAGGACTAGGACTGCAAGCAGTCCTCAGATTCTCAGCCCTACGTTCCAGTACTAGGTAAGTAGAGATATTCTCACAGGACAATTATGGGATGAGACCCAACGAAGTGGGGAGAGAGGAATGAGGTTTTAATAGAGAGACTAAGGTTGAGAGGAGCATCCATAGATTATTAGACCATGTGGAGATGTTCCTAATGGAAGGGGTCTGTTGAAGGAAGCAGGGCTCCATTTCCTACTCGAGGTCCAAATAGCATGATTTGTCAGGCATCCCTTATCCCCTTTTTCTAAACTCCTGCACTAATATCCTCCTGCCAGCCTCAAAATTGAGGCCGTATTGAAAATGGCAATGAAATAGTCACAGATTGCCCATTGAGACAAGGACAGGAGGACTGGCCTTGCCCCTATCCATCTCCCATAAAATTGCAAATGGGGTGAATGTGCTGGCAGTAGGAAATCTATTCAGAAAATTTTACAGTCCACCCCCACCTGGAAACCTGCCAGTGGAGGACTGTAAAATTCTGTCCTTAATCTCAATTCATGTTTGTACTCTGATTTTAACAGGGTGTGCCTGTTGGCTGACCTCTGCTTGGTCTTTTGTAGAAAAGAAGTTAACTATTTTGAATTCCTGCCTATGTTATTCAATGTGTTACCTGGTATTGACTGTCGCACCATTGGCTTGGCTGTAATAATGTCAGTGGGTTAACCTGATTGCACGGTTTCCTATTCATTAAAGATTAATTATGTTAGTTAGCTAATATGGAAAAAGAAAAGGAGACAGTTAGGAGAAGAGATGTTTCAAAACTTAATTTATTCAACTACCTTTTTTTAAAATTTAAAAACATTCTTTAAGGAAAGGAATACCAGAGATATCTAGCATTTCAGGAGTACACATGACAGTTGCCCTTTCAGATATGAAGTTTTTCCTTTTTTATTACATCATTTTAAAAATGTCATGCTGCAAATCTTGAATATCTGTAAAGGATTAGTAACAGCAACAATAACTCTTATCTACATGAGTGAGAGCATTCCTCTGAAACTTGATGAATTCTTAGTACTTAGAAGAAGATGGTATCAATTTTTAAACAAAAAGGGATGACAGAATCCTTAAAATAAAGTAAAATATCATTAGAAGTGTGAGTATCTGTTTGCTGAGCAGATCTAAACAAGAGGACTTCTGCAGCTAAAGAGTCCTAATATTAGAACTGAACTAAGAATAGAAAAACCACAGCAATGGCAGTTAGATCACACTGTATAATTGAGATCAGCCATTAAAAAATGCATCTTTGTGCATGCAGTTTGTTTCTCTCAAGAGTTTTTGGCCTCATAGTCTTTCTAACCTGTATTCGTGATATGAGGACATCTTTAATTTTAACAATGCTTAACCAGATTGCCTTATGTATTGACTAAGAGCCAACTCAATTTATTACAATCAATACTGGTAGTTGAAGTTCTTGGACTAATGTATTTATGAAACAAACCTTTTAACTACTGGACTGCTTGCCAAACCTTTTATTCATATTAGACTGTTTCAACTATCTAACTATTGTCATTGACAACACAGTGTGGAACTGGAGGAATACAGGAGGCCAGGCAGCAGCAGAGGGGCAGGAAAGTTGACGTTTAGGTTCGGGACCCTTCTTCAGAAATGGGGAGTGGGAAAGGAGCTGGGAAATAAATAGAGAGAAGAGGGTAGGGCTGGGGAAGGTAGATTAGATGGTGATAGGTGAGTTCAGGTAGGGAGTGGTGAGGATTGGTCAGTGGGGTGGATAGGTGGGAGAGAAGATGGATAGGTTGTGTCAGGTCAAGGAAGCAGGGATGAGAGGGAAGGTTGGACATGGGATGAGGCCAGGGGTGGGGAGATTTTAAAACTGGTGAATTCCATGTTTAGGCCTTTGGGCTGTTGGCTCCCGAGGTGGAATATGAGATGCTGCTCCTCCAGTTTGCAAGTGGTGTCATAACGTGGCAAAATGTGTCTGAAAATCAGCATTGCTTCATTAATGAAACTTTGATTACTCAGTTTAGTAGTCAGACCCAAAGTAATAACTATCTGATTATTTCATTCTTCTTCATAAGTTTCTTGCTATGAAAAGTTTCAAAGTATGCTCATACTTTTTAAACATTTTAAGATGCTGCTTAAAACGTATCATTTTGGTCACTCCAGATAGCTGCCCTAATACCTGCTTACATGGTTTTGCCATTTTTTTATAACGTTGCTGTGAAGTACTTTGAACCATTTTATAATATGAAAAGCTGTATGTATACAAGCTGTTGTTGTAGAATAGCAGATTGCTACACCAAAATAAAAATTGCTTTTTGTTCATCATGTTGCAAGAAATATTTACTCATGCTTCTTGAAATATATTTAAATTTAATTATAATTATACTTTAAATTGTTGAGATTAGTGCAGCTTTGATCAACAAAGTTTTGAATTGTGACAATATGCCAGGGGTCTAGGACTTATGAGACAAAAGAAAGGTCTATCTAATTTGCCTATCATACCAATTGTCACGTGCCAATTCACATGCCACATTAATTGGCTCACTGACTAATCACCCCTACCCTTCTCTTTTTTTTAAACCTTCCCTATCAATTATTCTACAAAAGACACAGACATAAGGTGGAGAAAACCTCAGCGAAGAAGAGCTTTGGAAACCAAAGACCAAAGTCACCGGTTTTCATTCAAGCATACTTTGTTTGCCAGTTGCCATATGTCATGTTTCAAATTACACACAGAATATCCCAAAATGTTTGCTTAAAGGAATTACCTAATTTGCATTTGAGTAAAACAGCATTGTTTGTTTCCACCACCACCCTATGGAGTCTGCTGTACAGATTGACCACTTACTGACTGAATTAGTATTTCATAGATTAGTTTTGAACTTTTCAGAAAAATGCCTGAAGGGGACAAGATGAAATAGCTTATCAGGTCTGAATTTTTCTCATCACTTTAGAGTCCTAAAAACAGCAATCACATCATTTTTCAACCTCTGTTCTGGTGAGAACATCCCCAATTTACAGAAATGTGGATAATTCAATCCCTCCAACACCTTGCTCATTCTGGTTGCTGTCTTCTGTATCCTTTTTAATAATGCAATATATTTTTGTACGTTGACAATCAGAACTATGCACAGTACTCTAAGTATGGTCAAACCAATGATTTATAAAATGGAAAGATTGTCTCACAATTTTTCTTTCAAATTCTGTAAAACTAATTTCAGTATTAAAATCTTTGTTCCCATGAAAAGCACCTTATGTTTCCCTACATGGAATTTCATCTGTTCAGTGTGAGCCCAATTTCCAAGTATATTTTAAGCTTCTACTTAATTTCTGAACAAAAACAGAAGTTGCTGGAAAAGCTCAGCAGGTCTGGCCGCATCTGTGAAGAGAAATCAGAGTTAACATTTCGGGTCCAGTAACCTTTCCTCCGTTTTGAGGACAGGTCACCAGACCCAAAACACTACAGTGTGGAAACAGGCCCTTCGGTCCAACAAGTCCACACCAGCCCTCGGAGCATCCCACCCTATAACCCACTCACACCTGAACACTACAGGCAATTTAGAATGGCCAATCCACCTAGCCTGCACATCTTTAGATTGTAGGAGGAAACCGGAGCACCCAGAGGAAACCCACGTAGACACAGGGAGAATGTGCAAACTCCACAGAGACAGTCGCCCGAGGCTGGAATCGAACCCGGGTCCCTGGCGCTGTGAGGCCACAGTGCTAACCACTGAGCCAACTCTGATTTCTCTTCACAGATGCTGCCAGACCTGCTGAGCTTTTCCAGCAACTTCTGTTTTTGTTTCAATTTACAGCATTCACAGTTCTTTTGGTTTTTATTTTCTACTTAATTATCATGCTCAGCTTTGAAGTTCAATAGTTCCAAGGATGAGGAACTTCATGGACTACTATATACACTGGAGAAGCTGGGGCTATTCATGTAGAAAAGATGATTGAGAGGAAGTGTCTTCTCAAAAGTCATGAGGGGTTTTGATAGAGTACAGAGATACAAACGTTTCCCATTAATGGAAGGCTCAATAATCAGAGGTCGCTGATTAGGGTAATTTACAAAAGAGGCATAGAAGGTATGAGGAATACTTTTATTCGTTATAAAAGTTTTATACTTTTTTAACATGGTTAGGCTTTGGAATGCTGTGCCTGTGAACTTAGTGGAGGCAGATTCAACTGGAGTCTTCAGAACAGACTTGGGTGATCATTTGAATTGAAAAAAAAACTTGCATTTCAGCATAGAAGGGTAAGGGAAGGGGGACTTGTCAAATTACTGTTCCAGAAAGCTGGCATGGACATGATAGGCTGAGTAGCCTCTTCCTGTACATTGTCTATGATTCTGTGGACATATCAGCTTCTTTGCTGAACAGGATTTTCAAATGCAGATTTTTTTAACGTATGTATTAAAAAGTACTATATCATGAAAGTTTTCATGAAAGTTTATGCGATTATCCACAATAATATTATACATTTTCTCATGTGTTAAATGTTTGTTATGACAGGGTATCTTGGACTTGCTTGTATTAAACAAAAATAAGGAAAAACCAGAGTTCACCATCCATGCTTTGCGAAATAACTTTGATGCTGATGCTTATTTTGTGAAAGTCATTGGTGAGTAGACCGTCACATACTTTTTTTATATATTAAAATCAAATAATCCTTCATAGACCATTAGAAGATTATTTTAGTAATATTGTTCAAAAACATTAGAAAACTGATGTTAGTTTCAGTAACTAGAGCAGTACTGATTGACCAGCATTTATGGAAAGTTTAAACAAGTTATCTTCAAACCCAGTATTGCTTGTTGCTTGAATTTATTTTCCACTGTTGTAATGTTCTCAGTTGTCTGGTTTTGCTGGGAAATTTTATGAAATAGTTTGTTCTTCTTGCAGATAAGCTAAAAGTGTTGACATCCAATTTTCCCCCTAATCCCAATCAAGACACGTTTTCTATCCAGCTTTTATATAGTGTGCCAGGATGCTGATTAATAATCAGCCTATTAATGTCCTCATCTCCATGAAAACATTCTCCTTACCTAAGCCATTCCTCCAGTACTGTCTTCATCTCCATTCCTTTCAATGCAAGAGATAAAGACTCAATACCTGGTTTAACCATTCATGGATCTCATTTTCTGAAGTGCATAACAGCAGGATTGTGAAAGCTTGTGAAAGCTCCAGGATCATCCTGAAGTGAAAAAACAATGCCTGGCTGTCTTTTTGAACTGCAAAACATCATCTTAAATCCCTCTCCCTTGTCTGCAACACCGTCTTTTTTTAAGACACTTTGCCAACTGAGATGTTTTGTAATCAACCAGTTCAGAGATATTATGACATACCTCTCAAGCAGGTGGGACCTGAACCCGGCAGAGATAGGGATGCTACCACTGCACCTCAAGAGCCCTTCAGAAATGTTTGTTTTGAATGTTGGCAAACATTTGCTTTTAATTATGCACATTATCTAAACATTTAGCATTTCATTTTTAAGTGTGCTATTGCAACTGATTTGACGCAGCGTTATTCTGCCTCCAGCAGTGGTCTAAACACAAAACACATTTTAAAATTTTTACATCAACCTGTTCAGGGACGTTTTGACACATTTCTTTAGCAAATGGAACTTGAACCTGAGCCTCCTGACTCAGCGGTAGGGACACTGCCACTGCACCACAAAAGCCCCCTTTAGCAACGCTTTTTTTAATCTGGAAGTGCTATTACGTACAACTGAACAACCTTTCCCACTACAAATCACTGTAGCAATTTCCACATGTTAACCACCACCACTAAATCAAAAATTTTTATTCTTAATTATATCCAGAAGTGCTGTTACACACAGCTGGATGGTTTTATCTTCCCAATACCAAATCACCTGTCATATTTTTTCATCTATTAACTACCACCAGTAAGTCATCTATTTTTTCAATTTGATTAATTTGAAGACCATCAAAAGTGGTGGGGCTAAATCAAATTCTTATAAATATTAATCGATGCACCATTGATAGCATCCTATCTGGATGCATCACAGCATTGTATGACAATTGCTCTTCCCAAGACCAAAAGAAACTACACAGAGTTGTGAACACAGCCCAATTCATCACACAGACCAGCCTCCCATTTGTTGACTTCATCTATACTTCCCGCTGCATCGGGAAAGCAACCAACATAATCAAAGACACCTCCCGCCCTGGTTATTCTCTCTTCCACCTCCTTCTGTTGGGCAAAAAATATAAAAGTTTGTATACATATATAAACAGATTCAAGAACAGCTTCTTCCCTGCTCTTATCAGACTTTTGAATGGACCTGTTTAATGTTAATGTTGAAGTAAATGCTGTGCAGCAACAGCCCATACAAGAAGCCTTTCCATGCCAGATGGAAGGCCACATAGGGCATCCCCACAAGGCAACTCAGGTTGTGGGGCATGGGCTCCTGAGGGAGGTTCGAGAAGCTACGGCGAATTTTGAGAGATGCGACTTTTGTTTTTATCCAGAAGTACTTACGCAACCGAATACCACTTCAAGGATATGATATTTCCACTAGAAGGGTTTTCTTTTTCATCTCTGACATCCTAAATTATTTTTATACTAAAAGAAGTAAGAGAAATGGGTTAATTAGGAGGTAGCTGGAAATGGCTCAAACAGAGACCTGGGGAAAATAAACAAGCTTCTGTATGATGGATTAGAATGGATAGAATAAATAAAACAAGGGGGATAAGAAAGATGCCAGTAAGAAAATGCACTTATTCAAGTTACTGTGCTTGAAAGACAGCATCATCATGTGTTTCTTTTGGGAGGGGAATGAAATGCTTTGATTTATAATCTCATGGTTGCTTTGGTTCACACCATGCCCCACAGTATTGCCTTAAGTGTAACTTTTAGAAGAAAAAGGTGTTAAAATTCAAATAACAAATCTTTTAGCAAAGCTGGAAATGGGGAGATGAGTAAATTCCTTCATAGCACTGACTTTTGAATGGCTGTTTTATTCAGTTTAGTGAAAAGCATTATAATTTCCCTCTTTTTAGTTCTGTAGCGAAATTTATACCCTTCACATTTGCCCTTTTCCTTGATAGATTCTGACAGACCTGCTATCAATTTTGCAGGTTTTTGAGTTTACTTGCAATTGCTGGTGCTTATGATGGGGATTTTATTCTTGTATCTAAATCGTTTTTAATGTTTTGCCTTTCAAGAATGCTGTTAATAGGTTTGTAGTAGAGTCACACAAAGTTTTAGCTTGAGACTGGTGGAACAAGGCCAAATACTTAAATCCAGGAATTTAGTAAGTGAAGGAAATCAGTGAACTGAGGGAGGAAGTACTGTTCTTGTGTTTTACAAAAACGGGACCGATCTAAAAGAGAAAACTGGAGACAGCGAGACCTGAGGGCACAAGTCCATAGGCATTAAGTAAGTGTGCAGATTATGTAATGGAATAAAGTTCGTTCTTGTCTCTAAACTGGAGTAGTAGTTTAAATTGGTACTGAAGAGATACATGTATTTAATTTATAGCATAACAAATTAAATGCCATAATGCAATTGCGGTAATCAATGAATGATATTCTAAACTTGAAATCTAATTAGTTAAATACAAACAAAATCCAGATGGCTAAGCAGGTGATGTATTGCAGCTGTAGTATGTGGGTACTGGTGGATACCTATGTGATCCAGACCAACCAAATCTTCATTAATACTCTGCAACTCAAAAGAATTGCAGCTCTAAGTTGAGGAGCTGGAGTTCGAGCTTCAGACATTGTGATGCGTGTGGGAGTTACCTGGTGATCTTGTTCCAGGAGGCAGTAACACCCCTTAGGTTAGATACTTTTGATTTTGTTTGTGGTCAAGGACAGGGCACAGAGGAAGAGTGGAGGGGGTGAGTGAAAGAGAAGCAACTATCGGGATCCAACAGGTAGCAATGGAAGAAACTCTACCATTATGATTTTCCTACATGTTCAAGGTTCTTGCAGCCAGTTTGAATGAAAGCAAAAACAGGGAGGATAGGCAGGTCGATTCACGGCAGCATGGTACAGGGAACCATTCAAATGGAGGGAGCAAAAGATCAGCATTGCTGTAGTCGGGAACAGTGGAATTCGGGAGATAGACTTATTGTCCGCAGTTGAGAACATCAGTCTTGAAGGTTGTTTTGCCTGCCCTTGCCAGAGGTAAGAACAACATATCAGGGTTGGAGAGGAACTTTGAGTGGGAGGAGAAATGTACAGTTTCTATTGTCCACATGGGTATCAATGACGTCAAACTGAGTAAGAAAGAGTTCTGCTGAGAGAGTATGAGCAGCTAGGAATTAAGTTAAAATGCATAATCACAAGGCTATTACATCACAAGTGGTTTGGATTAGGGTAAATAAGGTCAGAGAGATAGAACCTAGAACATAGAACAGTACAGCACAGTACAGGCCCTTCGGCCCATGATGTTGTGCCGAACTTTTACCCTAATCCTAAGGTCTATCTAACCTCCAACCCTTCCTTATACTATCATCCATATGCCTATCTAATAGCCGCTTAAATGCCCCTAATGAGGCCGACTTCACTACCCTCTCCGGCAATGCATTCCACGCCCCACCACTCTCTGAGTAAAGAACCTACCTCTGACGTCTCCCCTATATCTACCTCCACTCACTTTAAAACTATGCCCCCTCGTAATAGCTACCTCCACCCTAGAAAAAAGTCTCTGGCTGTCTACTCTATCTATACCTCTGATCATTTTGTACACCTCTATCAAGTCACCTCTCATCCTTCGTCATTCTAAAGAGAAAAGCCCTAGCTCTCTCAACCTTTCCTCATAAAACCTTCCCTCCATCCTGGTAAACATCCTGGTAAATCTCCTCTGCACCTTTTCCAACACTTCCACATCTTTCCTGTAATGAGGTGACCAGATGAATGCATGGCTCAAAGGTCAATGTAGAGAAATGGGCTATACCATTGGAACAGCCTTCACCTGGACAACCTGACAACTGAGGCTTGTAGTAGTGAGGACTTCACACAAAATAGGTTGGTGTGGGGGTAGAGGGGAAGGGGAGGGTTCCTATACGGGACATTTTGGAAAGTTAAAGCAAAAAGAAAAGACAATAGTAAAATGATCAAAATATAACCACAAACAAATGGTTATACTGGCAAATTAAGTCAGTGTAGGGAAAAATGATAAAAAGGTTAGAATTAGATGCTCTTTATGGGAATGAATGCCGCATGCATAGGAAGATGAATGAACTGAAATTGTGAATAAAAATAAGTGAGTATGACGTGATAGGCATTCAGATATATGGTTGCAAAGTTTTTGAGGCTGTTCAAGGATATTTGTTATTTTTGAAAGTCAGGAGGAAAACCAATTATGATAAGTAAGTAAGTACATTAACAAGAAACAATCTCAGATCGGATAATGTAGAATCATATGGGCGGAGGTAAGAAATAACAAGGGGAATATGACAAAAGTGGGACTAGTCTATAGATCTCCTAACAGCAGCTATACTGTTGGACATCAGATAAATAGGGATATAATGAGGATGTGTAAATAAGGCAGTACATTAATCATAGGTGACTTTAATCTTCATGTTGGTTGGGAAAGTCAAATTGGTAGAGGTACCCATAAGAAAGAACTCGTATAGTGAATTTGAGACAG